TTTAAAAGATGTTTTATTGTTATTCTATTATAGTTGTCCCAATTTTTCTCCCTTTTCTCTCCTCTGCCCATCCCACCCCCTGCTCCCACAGTTGTCCATGGCTATGGGTCATTCATACATGCTCTTTAGCTAGTCCTTTCCACCATTGTCCTCCTTCCCCCTTTCCTCTGATCACTCTCAGTCTGTGCCATGTTTCCATGCCTGTGGTTCTATTGTGTTTGTAAGTTTATTTTGTTCATTAGATTCCTCTTATAGGTGAGATCATATGATACTTGTCTTTCACCAACTGACTTATTGCGCTTAGCATAATATTCTCTAGTTCCACCCTTGTTGTTGCAAAAGGTAGGAGCTTTCTTTCTTTCTTTCTTTCTTTCTTTCTTTCTTTCTTTCTTTCTTTCTTTCTTTCTGCTTTGTAGTATTCCATTGTTTAAACAATTTTACACATAACATAAATTTACTGTCAACTATTTTAAGGTAGTTCAGTGGTATTAAATGCATTCACATTATACTGCAAATATCACCGCATCCATTCCTATAACTCTTTTCACCTTGTAAAAGTGAAACATTACCTATTAAACTTTAAAAAATTTTTATTCTCATCTCCCCCAGCCCCTGACAACCACTATTATACCTTGTTTCTTTATACTTTTGATTAATCGAAGTACATTTTGTACCTATGTCCTTTTGTGCCTGGTTTATTTCACTTAGCATCATATCCTCAATGTTTATCTACATTGTAGCATATTACAGAATTTCCTTTTTCAAAGGCTGGGTAATAATCCATTGTCTATATATACCACATTTTGCTTACTGATTCATCCATCGATGAACACTAAAGTTGCATTCACATTTTAGCTACTGTGAATAGATCTTCTATGAACATGGATATACAAATATTTATTTGAGACCCTGCAGTCAATTATTTTGAGTATATTCTCAGAAGTGGAATTGCTGGGCTATATAGTAATTCTATGTTTAACTTTTTGAGGAACTGCCATACTGTTCTCCAAAGCAGCTGTGCTATTTTCCATTCCCTCCAATAGTGCACAAGCATTCGGACATCTCCACATTGATGCCCAACACTTTTTATGTTCTGGTTTTTGGTAGTAGCCATCCTAGTGGGTATAAGATAAAATTTCATTGTATTTTTAAGTGTCTATTAATTGAAGTATAATTGACTTACAATAATCTATTAGTTTAAGGTGGACAACATAGTGACTTGATATTTATATAACTTACAAAGTGATCACCATTATTGGTCTAGTTACCCTCTGTCTCTATACAAAGTTATGGCAATGTTAATGACTACATTTTCTCTAGTGTTTGGTACATCCCAGTGACTTCTTTATTTTACAACTGGAAGTTTGCACTCTTTAATCCCTATTACCTATTTTTGCCTTTTTTTTTTTTCACCAACATGTCTCTGGAAGCCACCAGTTTATTCTCCATATCTATAAGTCTGTTTTTGTTTTGTTTTGCTGTTCATTTGTTTTGTTTTTTAGATTCCACGTACAGTAACATCATGTAGTATTTGTCTTTCTCTATTGGACTTATTTCACTTAATATAACACCATCAGGACCATCCATTTTGTCACAAATGGCAAGATTCAGTTTTTTTCATGTGTAATAGTCTACTTTATATCTTTATATATACATATGTATCTATATTACATATCTATGTTTTTACTTTATTCTTTCATCTACTCGTGGACACCCAGATTGCTCCCATATTTGGCTATTATTAATAATGTTACACTGGATATAGAGGTGCATATGTCCTTTTGAATTAGTGTTTACATTGTTTTTGAATGAATAAGCACAAGTGGAATTGCTGGGTCGTCTTACAGTTTTACTGTTAATTTTTCAGGAATTTCATTGTCATTTTGATTAGCATTTCCCTAAAAGACGTGACTGCTTACCCCGTTTCTTACACCCGACACACAGCCCTGGGCCGTGGCCACCACCTGCCCTGAGCGTGTTGAACTGACTCTCCCTCCCCTTGGGAACCTCTGTGGCCTGTGTCTCACTGAGCTCCAGCATCACCACGTGCCAGTGGTCTGAGTTCCCAACTCTGCAGACGCTGCCCTTCTAGGTACATGTGTGGGGGTGCAGGGTGGTGACAAAGGTCTGAAGTCACAGAGGAAGGAACCTCTTGCATGGGCCATGACTGGCCATGGAGAAAACAAGGTCTGGGGGAAACAACCGTTCACTGGGGACACCGCTCCTGGGTGACCTGGAAATATGCCTCCTCATTCAAAACAAAGCATGTAAATATAACCTCTACAGTAACAGTAAGAAGCACTGTCACTTTAAAACGAAACAGAGGGATACCTGTCCTGATATTCATTTGCTCTTTTGGAACCTCTGCTCTGGTATTGTTAGCACCTTGTTGTGACAGTGAGAAGAACGTGCCACGTGCTCCTGAGGATGAAGAGTCTAAAACTGGATGAATCAGGGCACGATGACTCATTCATAATTTCTGAATCTTAGCAGGTTTAACATAAAACCCGTGGGGGTGGTAAAAGTATGTCCTAAACAAGCAAGTTTGAATTCATGTTTGGAACAGCACATTCTGTTATACAGAGAGCTTTTAACGCCCAAAGAAAGAAAACTGTGTAAATAGCTGTGAGGCCTGGAGAGATAACCTCCCTTGGAGTCTATCCCCAGTCCTCCAGGATGTTGCCCCTGCTTTCAGCTGCGGGGGCTCCCCACTTTGTAAGGTAGTGGGGCCCTTGGCCTCCCTCCATCCCTCTCCCCCACCCAGCGCCATGCTCCTCTTCAGCGCCTCCTGGGGCCTCAGTTTCTCTTTCCCGCAGCCCGGGAGCCCCTGGGTCTCTTGCAAATTCCAAATCTCAGCCACAGAACAAACTGGTGGTAAGAGTGGAGAGTTTGCTGCTCTAAGTCTGCAAGGCAGTGCTTCAGTGGTGTGAACCCAGCCCCAGCTTTGAGGGCTACCTGCCCGGCTCACCCGGGCCAAGACTGGACACTGGAAACCCTGCTCTCACTCTGTCCCCGCTGTCCGTCCACCCCGGTCCCACTCCTAGCCCACGCGTCATGGCCCCACCCTGGCCAGTGTCCTGTCCCGGAACCTCTCTTGCCCTGACCCCTCTTGCCCCCGCCTCAGTCCCCTATTTGCCGGAGAAGCGCTCGTCAAGCCCGCAGCTCCAGCCGCTGCCTCTGCCTGTGCCGACACCCGGAATCCTCCCGCGATACTTCTCGTCCTCCCTGGATTCTGTCTCCTCTCTCGCCCTATCCCTTGTCCCTTGTTCTGCGTGGGCCTGCTGTTCTGGCACCCCCTCCTTACCAGGGGACTTTGTGCCCCTGGAGACTGGAGTCCGCCCGGCCCGCTGGCTCCCGACCCAGGGGACACACCCCACGCCCTACAGCAGCCCCATCACCTTTCACTGCTTTTTCCTTGTCACCTCCCCCAAGGGGCTGCCCTGCAAGGTGCTTCTTGGACTTCCCTTCGTGCCCAAGGCCCCGACTGCTTCTGCAGATGCACTGACAGTCCACGAGAAAACCAGCTTCTTCTGGGTTGGTTCTGAGACCCCCACCCCAACCTGGAACTGCAGCGGATACTCTGTGCCTCAGTTTTTATTTTATCTGAAGCTGGCGGCTCAGGCTACGTTGCTCAAAAATAAAAATACTGTTGTGTGCTTGCTGTAAAAAGAAATTTTGAAAGAACAGTTTATGTCTCAATGCGGAAACATTTAAGGACGTATGCTTTTTCATGTATCGTTGTCATTTGCAGGTTTCTCCTGGCAGCGTTCTCTTCGTTGGGAGGCAGTCCCGGCGTCTGCAGTCGTGCGCCCCTGGTGGCTGCAGGGAGAAGCGTCTCCTTGACTCCAGCTTCAGCGGAGGTCCCCCTTCCTTGAACCCTGGGCAGCCCCCAGCAGCCTTTTCTCCCCCTGCTCACCTCTCTTCTCACTCTGGCCTCTGCCTGTCTCTTATATAAACGCTGTTGTTCCATTAAGAAAATCCAGGACATTCCCCTGATCTCCTTAACTTCACCACATCTGCAAAGCCCCTTGTTACATAAAGGGCCACAGATTCCAGGATGAGACTGTGGATACCTTCAGCGGCCATTATTCAGCTTACCAAGTCCAAAAAGAACTTCCGAATGTTCTGAATTCACTTTTAGAACCCTTTCCAAACACCCACCCTTTTCAAAACACTCTTACTTGAAAAGGAAAAGTGTTATCTCCTTGTTTGCACCATTTGCACTGCCCCTACTGTGGGAGGGTCCCCCTCGCCCCTTGCCCCTCGCCCCGCACTGCTGGCGGTCACACCTGCCAGCCTGGCTGGAGGGTGGTGATGAAACGGGTCATGGTGCTGGGTGACGTGGCGCGTGCCCATTGGCCAGGAGCCCCTCGGCCCCGCGGGAAGGGCAGACGTGTCTCCTGACTCGTTTCCTGGCTGAGCCCTCAGGGACGAGGTCATAACCAGGACTGGGGCAAGAAGACACACACATTGTGTTTCACAAGCATTTGATCATTTCACATTTAAGTACAAAGCCACAGAAGTTCTAGTGGACATCCGGGCTACATTTCTCGTGGATTAAATAAGGGTATCCCTAACAGACTAATGACATGGTCAAAGGAAGAGTCAATGCTCTTCTTAAACCAGGTGTTCAATTGCTAATCAAGACCCTGCCTGTATCTGTGTTGGGAAAGAAGGCTCCCTTCTATATAATCAGTTGGTGGTAAAGTGTTTAAAAACAGTATCATTTTTTAGGTGATATGTTACAAACCAGTAACAAAGATTGTGGTTTAATTACTGCTTACAAATTGAGCACAATATCTGCACAACCAGATTGTATTGAAATGTTTAAAAAACGAAATCACATTGGAAATTAATAGTACTTATTGATACACAACATTATGAATGTACTTAAGGCCAATGAATTGTGCACATAAAAATGGTTACAATGGCTGATTTTATTTATGTATATTTTACCACAATAAACATAAAATTAAGGAGAAAAAAAAAGAATGACTCCTGCTTTACTGCAATGAGCTTGATGTTTACAACTTAATAGAGAGTAAAAGATTTGAGATAAGTTGGCACCTGGAGTATGATATGCATTATTAGGAGTTGAGAAGACAAACTCTAAACCCCAATCACTAGATTTAGTGTAGCTGGAAATTCTGCAGTATATAAAAAAGGGAAATGACCATAAATTCACAGAATTGTCACTTCTGGGTTCTAGGGGGGAGCGTGTGGCCAGGACTGTGCACAGAGGGGCTGCTGAGTGCTGGCAGCCCACCGTCTCCTGACTGGGCAGTCACTCAGGTCTTAGCTTGGTTATGTTTTGTTTATTCATGTGTAGGTGCTATGAACTTTTACATACTTACTAAATAAACTAGCTTATAAAGTAACATTCATGGTTTTGTTTTATAATCACCTTGGCTTTAAACATAATTGCCTTATCTTTAATAAAAATATTTTTACAAAAATACAATGACCCATTTCTATAAATGACACTTTTACCTTTTTTAAAAATGTTCACCTGAGTATATGTTTGTTGGTTTTACAGAGACAGGAAGGAAGAGAGAAACAGAGAAACATCAACATGAGAGAAAAGCATCAATTGGTTTCCTCTTGTACATGCCCCAAACAAGGACCAAACCTACAACCTAGGTATGTGCCCTGACTGGGAATTGAACCCTCCAACTTTTGGTGTATGGGACGATGCTCCAAAAATCTGAGCCACTCGGCCAGGTCACCTTTGTCCTTTATAATTAATAATCATCTATTAAAATAAGATTGTATTGTTTGTTTCCAAATAATAAAATAATCATGTCCATTTAAAAATTCAATACCCAGTTTTCTAAAAGTAATGAGCTTGTGCTTATAAAAAATGAAATGATCGTGTCTCCTTATTAACTGTATAGACATTGCCTTTTGAACTTTGAACTTTGCTTTTCAAAACATCAAGATCACGTTCCATAGACAATGATCCTGCCTTTAATAAATGTGCCTTTTCATGAGGAAGTGGAAAATCTTGTAGCAATGGCAACGAGAGGAAGAAGACCACACGTGCCCCCTTGCGTGTATCACAGAGTCACGGTGTTCAGTAAAAGAAGCAACACTGATCCATGGCCTAATCCACGGAGCGTGTGTAGGTAAGTACAGAGATGACAGAATAGCCCCACCGAGGTCTGTGCCTTGTGAAGTGACAGCCCCAGTCAGAGCCTGTTCTCACTCTGAGAACAGAGTGGGTCTCCCAGGGTCATTCCAGAGACGCAGTGAAGAGAAGGCATAAAAGGTCAGAAGGGCAGACCCTCCAAAGTGTCCCCAGCATCCCTTCCCCAGAGAACTTCACAGATTTTGGGTCTTCCGTACCTTGTGCAAAAACTGACCACGTACCATGATTGGAGTTTGTCATTTTCAGGTTTCTCATCATGTCAGACATGCAGCAATTTTAAGTTTGGGGTCTTTTGTTACATAGCAATGGATACCAGGAAGGAAGCTCATTCTTACATGATTCCTACATGTTGACAGAGCTGGAATTATTCTCATTTTACAGTCAGTTAAACTGAAGGGAATGTACTTACTTCCCAGTGTGCAACTATTCACAGGTGAGTGAGTTCCCTTTTGAACAATGAGCGCACATTCTGCACAGGCCGACAGTGGCAGTGGGGACACAGAAGTGAACCTGGCAGCCCCGGGCCTCCCGGAGCTGATATGCTGGTGGAGAGAGAGCGGCAACCCAGCAATAAACAAACAGTATTTCAACTGGTGGTAAGTCCACTACAGGACAACAAAGTAGAATGAAAAAGATAGGGAGTGTGTGGGTTGGAAGGCATCTTTCTATTTTACATAAGATGGTCTGAGAAATCCTCCTTAACAGTGTGACATTTGAGTGAGAAGAGGGAGGAAGGGGTCACCTGGGTCTCTGCAGAAAGATTAGTCCAGGAAGAGGAAGCAGCCAGTGCAAGGCCCTGGGGCAGGAGGGTGTTTGCCATGTTGAGAGTTCAGGAAGTGGCCACAACAGATGGAATGAGGAGAAAGACATTAGAAGTGTGGGCAGGGACCAGTTTGTTTAGGTCCTGCCTATCACATCCAGTGATATGCAAAGGGCCATCTGCAAGGAGCTAAAGAGACTGGGACAGAGAGTAGACCAACCACATCCCTAAGTGTCCTGTTTATTTCAGCCGACACTTTCTTCACTGCAAGACTTTCTTGACGAAGGCACTGAGATGCTTGACCTTCTTGTGAAGACTCCTTGTTTTTTGACACCAGCACTTTGAGCAGCACTATGGTAAGACTTTGTGGGCTGTAGTAAAAACTTTGGATTTGGGTGGGATTGAGATGTGAGTGACAGGAGGACTTTGAGCAGAAGAAAGATGACCTGACTTGGGTTTTAAAAGAATTCATCTCTAAGAATTCACAGGTCCTACCTGGAGAGATTGACATATAGTGGGCCAAGGAGGCAGCAGTAACCCCCTTGTAGGAGAGATGGAGGGATGGACCTGAGTGTTGGGGTTCTATCTATACTTTGTAGAACAACCACAGGTATGTTGATGGATTAGAGATTGCAGACTGACAGCATATTGAGAGTGTGAGGCCTAGAAGAGGGGAATGATTTTGTGAGGTGCTGGTTGTGCCTCTCCTGGCGCTTTGGGTCATGGAGCCGGTGGGGCCTAAGAAGGTTGCTACGAAGGCTGTGGCTGCAGAGAGGCTGTGGCTTAAGACCAATGTAGTGTGTCCATTTCTTCGTTTTTTCATCCCGGAAGTAGCAACAACGTTTTGCGTGTATATGTGAGAGCCATACCTCCAATCCAGCCCTTGGAGATCTTTCAAGAAGGTGCATTTTGTGTTTGCTTTCCAAATATACAAGTAAAACATAAAAATTCAGTTAAGTAAGTAATACTCTAAAAGAGGAAGGCAGGCCATTAATGGACTGTTAATGATAATGGGTCATGAACCAAGGATTTCAATATTTTTAATTGAAAAAATTTGACATATAACATTGTATTATTTTAAGAAGTAAAAATGTTACTTTGATACATTTATATATTGTCATATGATTGTCAGGTAGCAATATTTACATATTACATACATAAAGTACAATATTATTGTCTCATTCATTATAATATGCATTATGTCTCTGTGGCTTGTTTACTACTCATTTCAAAATTGTACTTTAACAGCATTGTTCTTATTCCCTACCCCATACAGCCCCTGGTAACCACCATTGCTCTGTGTTTTACAGGTTTAACTTTTGTGATTTCACACATAAGGGATATCATGCAGTATTGGTCCTTTTCTGTCTGACTTACCTCCGGTAGCATAATGTGCTCAAGGCCCATCTTTGTGGTCAAAATTGAAAGTTATTGTGCATTCTCACAGCTGAATATCTTTCCATTGTCTATATGTACCACATCTTTTTTATCCATACATTAGTGATCATGTGTTATTTTTATCTTATTGTGAATAATGTGTTAAACATGAAAGTGCATATCTCATCAAAATAGGGTTATGATTTTTTAATTTCTTGCCCCAATGTAAAAAAAAAAGAAACAGTTACAAGTCAATACCCATCATATGTTTTACCCAAAAAGTTTGAGCCCCTTGGATGAATCTTAAGTAGGTATGGAAGGCTTATTCAAGAAGGCACTTTTGTTTTCAGGTAGATCACCTAAAACCCCAAGATGTTAACTTTCTTTGCAGGTGGAACATGAAATTGTTGTCCTATGTCTGATATTCACACTATGAGTAAAGCCAGCTCCTGGCGTTTTGACATTGAGCTGAGGTTGGCATGATATTTGGGGACTCAAAGCACAACCAGGGGTCCTATTTAGAATATTAGCATAAAAGGAACAAAAAACTTAGAGGACAATGGTGGAAAGAAGGGGAAGGGACTAGACAAAGAACAGGTCTGAATGACCCATGGACATGGACAGCAGAGTGGGAATTAACTGTGGGAGTCAGGGGTGAGGGTGGGATGGGTGGAGGGGGGTAAAGGGGTAAAAATTGAGACAAGTGTAATAGAATAAACACGATTTATAAATTAAAAAATAAAAATAATTTCAATTTATTCAAATTTTCAATAATTTAAAAAAGAAAAGTTGAAATAAAATAAATAAAAAGGAAAAAAATCATAGATACCTTGCCCACATTAATCTCACATTGGTCCCACTGGGCCTGTTGACCCACCTGGAACTCATTTGCCCAGCTCCAAGTAGACTAGAATGGATGTCCAGAGCAGAAAAGAGAATCCTCACATTGGTTCCTTGACCTGTAAGTAAAAGCTATCATTATAGAAGAAACAGCCCTGGCTGGTGTGGCTCAGTGGATTGAGCACCAGCCTACGAACCAAAGGGTCACAGGTTTGATTCCTAGTCAGGGCACATGCCTGGGTTGCGGGCTCAGTCCCCAATAGGGGGTATGCAAGAGGCAACCACACATTGATGTTTCTCTCTCTCTTTCTCCCTCTCTTCCCATCGCTCTAAAAATAAAATAAATAAAATCTTTAAAAAAGAAAAAACAAAATGTTTGGTGAAGACTTCTGTGTCAATCTATCCCTATCTACTGATAATTCAGTAAAAGAAAAACATATCACATCCCAGGGCAAATGGCAGAGATTAGGGCCACCATCAAACTGAAGAATACAGGGGTCATGGTTCCCATTATATCCCCATTTAATTCATTAGTCTAGTATCTCCAAAATACAGATGGATAATGGTAAATAACAGTGCATTCGCATGAATGTAACTTAATTTAAACCAAACTTGTAGTTGCTGTGACAAACATTGTATCAAAACTAGAGCAGATAATCACACACCCTCACATATGTGCTATGCAGGTTTTGATCCGAAAACACACTCTTTCCAAAACTCACCAGGGAGTAGTTCAGCAACAGTCTGTGTTTACATGGCACCCACAACGCTATACATTCACGGTCTCTCGCTCTACATCTGCGTAGTCCACAGGATTCTGGACAACCTGCCGGACATCACACTGACTTCCTCACAATGTGAGAGATTCTCAACCTTTTTCATCTCATGGCTCACATAAACTAATTGCCAAAATTCTGCAGCACACCAAAATATATAATTTTGGCTGATCTAACCAGATATTAGGTATAAGTTTGATTCATTCACACTTTACAGCTATTGTTATGTGGGCTGTTGCATTTTTTTAATATGATGATCTAAAGGAAAAGAGGTCAGTGCCCCTGACTAGTCAGATATTGCATGTTTTAAAGGTTCTTGTGGCACAACGGTGTGCCATGGCACACCGGTTGAAAATCACTAGTCCATTATTTTAATGACAATATGATAATCAGACTATCTGAATAAAAAATGGCAAGTGTTCTGAATGCCTTAGTAAGACACGTGGCCTGTGTCTTCCTTGATGATTAGCAACCATGTCAGTGAGCACAACAGCATCCACTGACGAAAATGATACCACTGACAGAATCACCCCTAGTGATCAGCAATTTAAGCAAAGTGCGGGTGCTCCGTGAGCTGTAGGACCATCCACATTTGCAACCATCCAGGGATCTGCCACATCTATGAGGCTTTATGGCTCCAACAGTCTGGGCCATACTGGATTGACTCTCCAGAGTAAAGAACAGGTTACTGCACTTGCACCTCCATCTAATTCATGTTAGAAGGGTGAAACTGCTTTGTGAAGCCTCTGTTAGGATCTAATAAGAGAATTATATGCAGGCTTCCAAGGTTTGGAGGGAGGCCATGTTTTCCACAGCAATAGACCAACATTCTGGACCTGCTTCTAGGTTTCAGGAGACATGGAGTATCTGAACGTGGGCTGTATGTGACCAGGAAGCCAGAACTCTTCATCATGACCTGGGTTCTATCACATGCGCCTACATAAGGACAAATAGGGAGAGCAGCATCTATCAGAAATGGAAGTGTCACCTCCTGAATTACCCAGAAATACGTGGCCTAGACCACTGACACCTGCCACTCCAGGAATGTGACCTGACACACATCTTTCTTCTGTGGACTCACAGAAGTCCCTTCTGACAAGTCAACAAAGAAAGAAAAGGGACCACGTACTCCAAAACGATTCTTCACTTTAATCCCTGACCCATTCACAATTCCCCCACCTGTCCAAGCTCCTATTCAGCCTAACACACTCATGTACAAATCCCCTGGAAATGGCTAGATTTTTTACTGGAATAAAGGAAGACTTTAAAAGAAGGGCTGTTGAAAACCATCCCACCTAGTTTCAGGGACTGTAGCCTCGCCAGCAGGCGAGAGGGTCCCAAGGCTGGAGCTGAGCAAGGAGGCCTTGGGAAAATAGGTCACTGAGGGGACAAAACCTGCCCCCCCTGGCAGGGGCACAGCCCCTACCTCCCTCACATCACCCTGCCCGGCCCTGGAGAATGGCTGGTTAGTCAGTGGTGAGTAAGACCCCGATGGCAGGGGCAACTGAAGACAAGCACAGTCGCATAGGGGCCATCATGGGAGGGACTTGGAGGAACACAGAGAAGGGGAAAAAGACCCTCACCCCTCGGCTTTGATATGGCTGGAGTCCTCATTCTATCTGAAAGAAGTCTCCTTATCTCTTGGCGGTTCAGCCCCATCCACATGGCTCTGGCTTGAAACAATACTGGAGACAGCCCTAGTCTGCATCAGGTGGATCCTGGGGGGAAATCAGGTTTAGAAGTAAGTTCCTTGAAGCATGCTTTGTTTTTCCCTCAAAACCTATGATAACTGGCTTATGCTGGGAAGGAAATTTACATTATTCACTGACCCTGACCTGAGCCAAATCTCGTGTTCCTTCAGTTGTTATCTATGGTCTCTGTTTGTTTTCTATAAACATAGCCTTTTAACATTGATTGGTGAGCTTTTGCATTGATGCTGTATACCCCTGCGCATGTGGTTCTCAATAAAAGTCATCGAGCACAGGGGCTCTGAGCCTTCTCCACTAGAGGGAACTGCCACCTCCTTCCTCTCTCAGACCAAGAGAAAAGTGTCTGGGATGACTTATTTTATTTTCCCATCTGTGACGACCCAGAGCATACTCTGAGGGCCAGAGGACTGCTCTACCTCAGCTGGCGCCCAAACAGGGACCCTCAGATCCAGAGCCCCACGCCTCCTTAAAGGGCAACACATTGTTTTTCTGCAGTGCACCCAGAGATTCTGAAAATGTCTGACTTGTGATCACACTTTACAGCAAGCTGCACGCACCAACCTGGTCACAGGTAGATACTGCAGCACTTCGGCATCACTCTGGAAACGGCTCGCTGTGCACTTGGTTCCCTGCTCCGCATTCACCGCCCTCCCCCGACTGCTATCCCAGTCCTTTTTTCTGGTCTGGCTTCCTCACACTCAAACTCCCTTCCTGACTCAAGTGCCCAAACACCCTTGGGTCAGGATTCCTATGTTCATGGTGCCCTCAGTCCTCCATTTCCTCCTCACTGTACAGAATCACAGACCCCACTGGAGGCTCATCTTCTCCCACTTTCCTTCTGTCCCATGTCCCCTATTGGCCTGTACATCTGGGGCTCCCTCCTGTCCTTAATGTCTCAACACTAATATGCATTTTCAAGACCTTGTCTTTTCCCCCTTCCTAAACCCATCCCAGTGTGGAAGAACCCATGCTCAACTTCATCAAAGCAATTTTGGTTGCTCCTCCCTCAAATAGTAGGTCCATCCCCCCAACTCAGGTTCTTCAGCCTCATCGTTAAGTCCCTCTTTATAACAGCCCTTCTCCATGGCAAAAGTAGATTCACTTAATCCCACACCTATTCACCACCCCAAACCCTTCCCAAGCTTTATAATTCTCTCATCCCAACTCTGCGCAGGAGCCCGACCTCCCGTGCCATTCCCTGCTGCCCGCATCGGGTGTCGGCTACCCGCTCTGGGGCAGGTGCTCTAGGACTCAATCCAGTGCTCAGCAGCCATCATGAGCGAAAAGTAAGACAACTCACATGGGAGAAGCTATTTCTCAACTTCTGTGTCCTGTTTTTGAACTCTGTTTCAGATAAACATACCAAATTGATGAAATAAACACAGAAAGTAAGTCGGGGACCCACACATACAAAATTCATTTATTAAAAATAATGTATTTACTCTTACATTTTAAAATGTCAGTCACCTTTAAAGTACTCTCCATTTGATATAATACACCTATTGAGATGCTTTTTCCACTGCACAAAATTTCTTGAACTTGTTAATTTTGATGCCTTTTAGTGTTTCTACCTTTTTTGTTTTAGCACTTTCTCATTGACAAAATATTTCCCTTTGAGGACTTTTTTTAACCTGGGGAAACAAGTCACTCGGGGTGAGATCAGGTGTATACTTAGGGCCGGGCACCGCGGTCATGCCATTTTTTATCAAAAACACCACGTACTCTGCTTTTAAAGACACTGCCCACCAGCAGGAACCCCTACTGCGGGGAAAGCCGCTGAGTCAGGCGGTGCCGGCGGGAGTGGCGGCCACACTGCCCCTGCCGCGCACGCGCCCTCCTTGGAGCTTCCAACCCCTCCGCCATTTCCTGGGCGGGACACCCATTCCAGGGACAAAAGCCAGCTCTTCGGGGAGCATTAGTTAGCCTATCACAGCATTAAAACAACTTCAAAATTGTTAATGTTCATAATAAAAAATGTTGCTCCTATAGTTGAACTGCTCCATGCTCCCCCAGCACCGTAGAGGAGCCTCACCGCCGCCGGCGCTGGCCCCGTGGCACCAGACCCAGACGGCGGAAGTGACATTGGACCTCAAGTGGGCACTGGGCATTGGCTAAGCCACACGGCCATTGGTTGAGCCGCATGCTCATCAGCTCCTGCGTGTTTCAAGGGTCTGGGTTAGCTCTCAGCATGTGACTCTCCTGTCGCTCAGTTAGAACTGAAATCCGCAAGGACAAGGCCATGGAAAATGAAGAATTTGCAGCTTCTCTGCACGTCGTAAGATGGGTGGCTACTTGTCTATCTACGCCCATATGGAATTTCTTAAGAGAGAAACTAATTGCAAATGGAATGGAGCAGGTCCTGATCATCTTAGACCCACTGGCTCCAGGTCTCATCAGGGATATACTGCAAGTTGTACTCAGAAAGGTAATTTTAGCATTCACCCAGTAGACTGGGAAATGTTTTAAAAAGCATCAAGTTTTTTTTCACCTTTCTTTGGAAAGGTGATGCTTTGCCAAATAGAAAAAGTCCATGTGCTTTAACTTTTCCTTAGGAACACCGCCTGTGTCTACGCAATCTTTGTGAATTCTTGAAAGACAACCTGACATATTTTTTATTAGATGATACTTCCTGGGAAATTAACAGAGGAGATTACGGCTTCATTACAAAATAAGAATTTCATACGTTATAATAATCATCTTCAGGAAGACAAATTCCTGTCTATGCAGCCTGGATTGATTCCTCAGCTGTGGCCTCAACAACCACTGGTGCAAAATTTTGATTCTGAACTTTGTTATCATCGAAATACTAACTGTCTCCCTGACAAAAAAGACAACCTTGACACTGAGAAGATGAAGGATCGCCCCAGAAGAATGCAATCCTGGGACTGGTTCTGAGGATACTTCCTTCTAATTTTGAGGTGAGTTTCTGCACCACGCTCTGACCGCGGTCGGGGGCTGGGGGTGGTTCCTGACCTGGAGGGAACCCATGAGGGGCCAGAAAAATGTCTCCATGGGGCAGGAGGTACCAGGACATTGCATTTACATGGGGTTTAGAGGGCGCTGAAGTTCAAAGGATGAAAGTCTGGAGGGAAGTTCTGAGCAGGCTTTGGAAACCTTCTGCTTTAGTATCAAGAACAGGAGAGAACCCTGTAAATGTTGCAGGAGAGTAAGAAGGTAGGGAAATTCCTTGATAAATGGAATAAAGGAAACTGCAACAAAATCATTAAACAAAGCCAAACAATTTGAGCAATTTCAGCCAGCTAAGGAATCAGATGGTTTTACCTTTTCTAACCAGGAACAGTCTGGAACAAATGGTTTAGACATTTCAGACCATCCCAGGACAGGATGACCTCAGTTCTGGTCCCTGTCCAGTGATGTTCTTTGAAAATAAAACTAAGCAGAAAATAACCCTAATGCCTTTTTATGCACATATTGATGAATCAGAATATTGAATGACACACCTGAGACTTCCACTAGCATCCCCGCCATCGAGGTAAAGATAAAAAATCTCAAGACATATAATCCATGAAGCGCTCTGGCTAGGCTTGCCCATGCCTTGTATTCACACTCAGTTTCTCCTAAACTCTAAGAATCCTCATGAGACTTGCAACAGGGAAAGAGCGAGCAGCAGCAGCCCATTCGGGCTTACTCCTGAACCTGTCTTAAGGCTTTCTTTTCCTCTGATTTTCCTCGGAGCTAACAGCAACCCCTCATTGACGCACTAATTTTTTTTTTTTTACCATGAATTCTATTGCTCAGTGAGCTGAAGAAGCCCCACCTAGGCTCACTTCTATCCCACAAGGTTTCTGGAGAGCCAAAAAACCATGCCTAGTCTCCTTCCTTTTGCTTCTTCTACATTAAGCACTTCCCTTGTTTCACCATCCCCACGTACTAAACATGCTCAAAAATCACCAGGATATGTGAAATCTCTTCTGCATGAAGTTAAGAACCCACACACTTCTGCCACCCCGAGGCAGACACATTCCAGGCCTGGACCCCATCTGGTGACATAACTACAAATTATTGGTGCTAGAGGGGGTTATTCCTGGATTGGAGGGAGGAGCGACATAAAATGGACACTACGAGGAAGTCATTGCAGTGAATCGGCCACAAGAGATTCATTGAGTAAGAAGCTTTTAAGAGACAAATTGTGGTTGGGACAAAGGAAGCTCTGTCCTGCAGAGGATTCAAAAAAATTTTATAGACAGATCTTGGCTCTGGCCAGGTGGATCAGATGATTGGAGCATCATCCTGTCCACCAAACGGTTGTAGGTTTAATTCCCAGTCACGGCACATACATAGGTTGTGGGTTCTGTCCCCAATCAGGGTGCATACAAGAGGCCACCGATTGATGTTTCTTTCTCACATTGCTGTCTCTGTCTCTCTCTTCTCTAGAGCTATCTCTATCTTTGTACCTCTATTTCTATCTCTATCACTATCTCTATCTGTCTATATCTTGATCATCTCTATCTCTATCCCTATCTCTATCATCTTTCTCTCTTTTTTCTCTCTAAAATAAATAAATTTTCTTGGGGAAAAATTTTAAAAATAATAAAGCCAGACCTTGGTTGAGAAAGGCTGTGCACTTGAAAAAGTCTCTATGCTAACCAAAAGAAGCCTGTCAGACTGCAGTTGAAAAAGCATGTAATATCATTGAGACCTGTTTCTATATTTTTAAAAATGTGGACAAGTAGTCCCAACTGCTGTAGAATATTTCCTCACCTGGAGATTCACCCCTTTCCTCAGAGTGGTGGCACTTTCTTCATTCTCTACCCCCTTTCTTCTTGCATTCTCCCCTCTCACCCTCTTTTCTTTTTTAAAAAGATTTTATTTATTTATTTTTAGAGAGGTGAAGAGAGGCAGGAAGAAAGGGAGAGAAACATCAATGTGTGTTTGCCATTCACACGCCCTCTCCTGAGGACCTGGCCTGCAACCCAGGCATGTGCCCCACACTGGAAATCGAACCGGTGACCCTTTGGTTCACAGGCCGGTGCTAAATACACTGAGCC